CTTCTCATGCTTCCTGTACATTTCCTTCCATTAGCTAAAAGCTTGGGTTTTTTATGATATCTGTGTTCAGAGGATTTCAAGTGAGTCTTTCAAATCATTAATGCTTTGCACTGCGATGATGGTTAATACATTTATTTATTTTTGTTATTCTTGATGCTTTAGATTGTTAGCCACCCTGAATCATATGTTGATATAGGTAACCATGCAAACAAAATAAACAAATAAATAAGCCAAAATGTCTTATTGTAATCTATTGTGGACTGCAGGAATAAGCAGGATCTTAGAGGTACAGTCATCAATCAGTGTGCAAACAATATGAAATAGTCTAAAAATGACAAAATTTGTCCTGAAGAAAGGAATAGCTTTAATATACAAAAGCTCTTTGTGATCAGAAAAAAAGGATGCCACAAGTCCATTGGAGTGAATATCCAGAGACAACTGACTTGCATTCACAAAAATAGCAAAGTAAAAAATGTGCCAATAGTTTAATTATAAGTACTTATTATTAATCTCTTCCTAAAAAAGACAAGCTGGTCTAATTGACTTTTGTTTTCCACACCCAAGCTGTATTATATGTATAACCTAGGAAGGGAGGGAGGGAGGGAGGGAGGGAGGGAAGGAAGGAATGTCACAGACAACAGCCAGCAAATGTGGATGAAACCAGAGCAGGAACATTCCCAAAAGAAATGATGAATAAATGAGCCTGGAACACTTGAAAATAAAAGGGTACCACAATAAAACAGCTGCCCGAAGGATGACATAAAAAGTGGAGAGTAGGCCAAAGTGGGACAATGTGCATTCCTTGTACCCACATACAACCGATTTTAAGGCAAAAGGCAGAAGTCAACATTTCTGAGGAAAAGATGTGGTATTAAAAAAAGAGACTTGTTATTGTTACATTATATTATTTTTATAAGCAATTTAGGAGATGACAAGCAGTTTAATGGAAACCAGAATTCAATATTTTTTCAGATTTCAATGAAATAAAATAAAGAGGCAAAGTCAGCCTGCTGCAATTTCATTGTAGGAGGAAATCCCTCTCTTCCATTATTCTGGGTAAAATTACTAAAAAAGTTCTAAACTCAGATGCTGGAAGGTATGCTGTGACTCATAGTCTGTAGATGTAACTATTAAATGTTAAAGGAAGGAATCACTGACAAAATTAATTACAACAACACCATTGCCTTGAAATGTTACAAAATACTTTGTCTTTGCAACAGCTTTTCACTGGTGTTATTGAATCATATGAGCAATTTCCAGAAATCAGAAGTGAAGACTAAATTAAAAAATAAAAACTCAGGAATACACTTCCAGATTTAAAAGATGTGCTACATTATGTTGAAAAGTATATCTAAAGCACCAACATGTGAGTAATTTTTCAAAAACCAAAACCTGAAGAGGGGCAATTGGATTAGAGAAATAGGAAAAAAAAAAGTTGTTCTCTGTATCGTTTCCCCCATTACTTCCCTTACCATCTATAGCCAGAACAAGCCCAACTTTCAAACTCCATATAGAAATGAAAAGAAGCTTAGGGTGCAAATAAAGCAAGCAAATGGTAAGCTAACTCTATTCCTTGTCCCTCCTCTGCTTGTTATGGGGAATAGGCCATAGTTACCTCCTTATGTTGTTCTTTTAAAGATTGAATAAAGATAATTATAGTTAAATAGATTATACGTAAAATCTAGTATGCACCTTAAAGTCTGAAATAAGGGATTTCATTCCATTATGTAATGACCACCTTTGCCTGGATATAAAAAGAAAATTGAAAATGAAAGGGCAGCTCCAGTTTAAAGAGGGAGCCAGATTTTTTATATAAGTATCTACTGAAGAAGGAACACAATGTTGTTTTAGATCAGTGGTTCTCAACCTGTGGGTCGGGACCCCATTTGGGGTCGAACGACCATTTCACAGGGGTCGCCAAACAAGGCTGTCCGCCATTTTTTTCCCCCTTTTCTTTGGCCACGCCCCTGGCACCCGGTGATGTATAAGTGGTTGGGGGTCACCACAACATGGGGAACTGTATTATGGGGTCACGGCATTAGAAAGGTTGAGAACCACTGTTTTAGATTGTTTCTCTGTTAACGATTTAGAGTGTTTTCTTGCATCATCAAAATATTGCTGGGGGAATATAAAGCTTATCATTGTTAGATCAGCACATTGATGGTTCAACGATACTGAACAGGCTATAAAGCACTGGTAGGAAAACTGCTATACTTAATTGCCACAAAATTTATGGCTTAATTTCAAAACCATGAAGCATGGCATTACTGTGTTCCTTATTTTAAAACAGACTTTCATGAAGTTTTGCTCCTACTGAGACTCTTAAAAGCAACCAATGTTTTAAAAGGTTCTTTATTTTTTTATATTCAAAAAAGATAAAGCGCTCATAAAACACTTTTGATGGATTAAATCTGGAAAGGTTGAAGTACTAAAAGCTTCTTTTAAAATTGAACCCTAAAATGTTCATTAAAACAGTGAACTTATTTGAGCTGATTTTGGAATTGAGAGCCTGCAATTTAGAACAACTTAAAAAATATAATCACAATTTATCTCTTGAAACTCAAATGTAGCATGGTATTAATTCACCGTCTGATCTTTCAATCCTTTCTTTTAATGATCTTATTAGCCAGCATGCACTTGAAGTACAACTACACGGTCAGCAGTTGTCTGAGATTTAGCATAAAGTTGACTCCTTTGACACTTGGCATGCTCCATCTCTTAGTCACACATTTTTAAAATGTTAATTCCAAATAAAATATCCATTTTGCAATTGTGATAAACATCTACTATGCTATATGCCCAAGGGAAGAATGATGATAGGAAGATGGGATTAGAATGGGGAATACTTACAGTAAAATGGAAAACAGCACTAACAAAAGAAATTAGTTTCCTTGTTGGTTGTTAATTTTAACAAGAAACTGGTTGTTAAGAAGACACAAGTGATGTGAACCATAAATAGAACAATAGTTCTAATAGAATTAATTGTTTCATATTGGTTTTTAATGAATTTATAATCTGCTTTATAATTTTAGTAGTTTGGAAATGCTTATATAGAGATATGGACTTTGCAAAAGACATGTTTAAAACCTCTGTAACATAAATTTGATCTTTTCCAATAGTTGACATCATTAAGAGGTTAACAAACATGCAATTCAATGCATCTAATAATGTTACTATGCAGACACTTACAAAAATCTGCATCTAAGAGTTATACAACTGGCATTTCCATTGCTCTTAACAAGTTAAACAATCAATTAGGCTTGACTATATCACCATGAGACATGAAATAATAAATTCCTAAACATGTAGCTTTATGAGTAGCCATCTATTATGCTTGAAATAAACTCAGAAAAAACATAGTTCCAATAGAAGAGAATATATATATAGCTCAGGGTTGAACTGTGGAGTCATCAGTTACTAAGCTTCATTGATTTTCAAGATATCATAACCACAAAAGTTGCATTTTGGAAGATCTCTTTTTCTCTCTCTCTCTTTCTCTTCCCTCTCCCTCCCTCTCTCCTTCTCCCTCTCCGTCCCTTCTTCCCTACCTCTATCTTTAGAAAGTCCAAAATTTGCAATGAAGTATTAATGTAAGTTGAACTGAGTCCACAATAGCAATACTATAGCACTATAAAACTTGGAAATGCTATAAACATTTCAAATAATTGTGTTGGTCAACTACATGAAAATCATTTGGTAATAATAAAATAGTATCATTGTTAGGACCAACTAAAAGACTACCAAACAGTGACCAATATTTAGCACTCTGCAAAGTTTATTAAGCAAAACTAATTAAATGGCAAGAGGGTTTAAAAAAAAAGATGAAGGGCATGGTAGAACCCCCCCCCCGCCTCCATCTAGACTTCCTAATCTTTTTAAAAATGGACCAAGCCACCAAATGTCAGCATCAAAGAGCATCTAAAGAATTGATTCTGCTCAATTCTTACCATGAAACATAGATTGTTAGTGTCTCCAGAACACGTCCTGGCAATCAGCAGCAGTGTTTCAGCATTATGTTGCAAGCTCTGTCCCTTTTCTCTCTGTGTTATGATGTTGCACAGATGTCTAGGCTGGTTAATATTTGAATGGGAGACTGTCAGAAAATCCCAGAAAATCTCCATTTTCCAATGGAAAGTCAGTAAAGTATATTGAAAATATGATTTCGTGGTTACTATACCAAAAAGCTGATCTATAAAATTTGGAGGGAAATCAGGGAATGTGAAATGCATGCAAAGGACAACATGTTTAATACTTCCCCTTGATAGGAAACCTCTTGCTTATAGTAAATGAACGCAGTAAGGAGAAGATTAGGTTTAAAATTAGAGAGCAAGGACATGTTGGTTGGGTTCACTTAACATGCTAAGCCATAATGTGGTTAGTGTGATGTGTGAACCCAGTCATAATTTCAATCATGTAGTCATTTCTGTTTTGAAATAGTTTTTTTCATGACAAGAGGAAAAATACAGAAGTAGTTGATTATAAGGGACAAATAATGTTGCTTCTCTGGGCCTCCTGTGCTGAGAATAATCTGCATACATTTGGGACAGGCGGTCATTAAGATGCCTATTTATGTGGAAATTGCTCCTTGTTACATCCACCATTTTAAACATCTCCAGAAATGCTGACATATAAGTCCATGGGATTAATATGGGGTTGCCAAGATCTTTTTTTTTCTTTTATTACAACTACAAGCTCTCATTTTTAAATCATGCGCTGTAACATCCAGGATAACATTTCAGAGAAGGGAAAAATGAGGAGGAAAAGCTTTATAGCATTAATAACACGATAGCATGGTCCTTTTAGATGAAAAAAAAAATGGGATCTTTGTTTCTTAAACTATCTGCAGGCATTGCTGGAGAAAAGACTGATGCTGTTAGTTGAGATAAAACAAAACAGTTCCTACCCCTTAAAGAAAAAAACATGTACTGAATCTGATTCCAGATATGGTGCAGTAAGATAAGAAAAGCCAAAACTGTTATGCAGAATGTCAACCCCTGTGAGGAAATAATAAAACATGATTTCACTAATGTCACCAAAATCATCTGCTCCTAACTGTTGAGCCAGGTGAAGAAGACATTCCACTCCCAGTATACATTGTGCCCAGTTTTTAAAATGCCCATATCTAGTAGACTTTGTGCCAGATTAGTCCTTGTAAGAAGCATGTACAAACTAAAATGTCAGGCAACAATAAAGACCCCCGATTTAGAATATCTTGTTCAGTCTTTGCCTGTCCCAATTTGAGCTAAAGAAATTAAAATGCTGGCACAGACCCAGCAGTGATTAGGGTGAACTTTCTGAATAGGATGAATTGACTCAGTAGGGGCCATGCCATGGACAGAACCTCAAATTTATTAAAATGACACATATTGTGGCTTGTTTGGCTTTGGTTTATAGTCTGAATCCACTCACCCAAACAGATAAAGTGGGCTTTCTGAGCAGACACACCTAAAAAAGGCTTCCTTCCTCACAAAAAGATCCTCCTAGCTCTGGTACATTTCTTTGTGATTCTCAGTTCTGATCTCAGTAGGATCTTGATTCAAAGCTTTGCATTGATAGGATTCTAACACATTTATATGGCAATTTCTTAAGCACCAATAAGAGGCATAATTATATAGTGATACACTACACTACATGGTAACCTGCCCAGATTCACTTGGATAGGGAGATGGGCAGCATATAAACCAATCAATCAATCAAACAATCAAAAAACAAACAAACAAATGTAAATTAAATAAAAGGGGCTGTACCTGGAAGCAGGCTATTTGGGGCAAAAGCTGTTGTCAGTGCCCCAGATGGCCACCAGCAGCATGGTGGCTAGCTGCTTCATCTGCCAAAATGTACTGACACAAGCATGGTCTAGAGCCTGGCGAGTAAGTGGCTCTGCTTTCAATACTCTTGGGTAGGTCTTTGTTTTGTGCAAGAGAACCCTATTCAGCAATAGTAGCAGAGAAAGGCAAACAGTTTTTTTTTTTAACCAGAGGCTACCCATAATGGTGACCTTGGTACTCTGCTCTATTCCTGGTTCTGAAATCCTATGGCCTGAAGTATAAGACAGGTGTAAGTACAAACAGATAAAGATGTGGCTCCTGAATTATATTTTATCTTAATCTTTATATGCACTACATAAATGAACTGTTAGTGAATCATTTAAAGTAATAGGTCTCAAGATCTTCACCCATACAAAAATGAGTTTCTGATAATTTAGTAATTGTTCGTATATGGAACTTGGAACTTTGTCTCAGCATAACTCTCTTATTTGAGAACTACATAAGAAGATTTGTTTGGAATCAGTGAAGATGAAATCTTAACTTTCTATTACAACTCGAGCTGATTTTATTAAGTCAAGATTTTAACATACCATCAATGTCAAAGCCATTACCATCCTTTTGCAAATGTGATAAATTATACTTCAGCCCAATCATTTCTTTTCTGAAATTAAGCCCCTTTGAACTCAGTGTGATTTTCTCTTAATATCATTAGTTATTTCATAAGGTTAGATCCAAACATGACAACTTGACAATGAAAAGTATTCCTTCCACTTAAAGAGGCAAATGAATCCAGGAGAGGCTGTCCATTTGAAGAAAATGGTGGGGAAGCATGTTTTGCTGACTCATTTTTTACAGAATCATGTACTGTAATGGAAAGGTACATCAGAGGACATCTGGCCCAACCCCCTGCTTAGTGCAGGATCTGCTAAAGCTCGGTTCGGTTCCAGAAGTGCTTTCCATAGTGTTTTAGAGAGTGAGAAAATCTCCAGAGCAGTATTTCAATAGTCTGGTGAATTGGAAAAAATAAAAGAAACTGGAATTCAATGATACATACTCAGCAGGGCAAAGTTACTTAACCTGTCTAATTTAAACATAAACACATGATTCAAATGAAAATTTGTTTTGGTATTTTCCTGAATTACCGTGAATTTGAATTATATACTTTCAGTTCTCCCCTGCATTTTCACATAATCTTAGAACTGTTTTCAGAGCTCTTATTGAGATAGCTTTTATTGATATAGCAATAGCAATTAGATTTATATACTGCTCCATAGTGTTTTATAGCATTCTCTAAGTGGTTTACAAATGTCAGCATATGACCCCAACTATCTGGTCCTCATTTTACCAACCTTGAAAGGCTGGAAGGCTGAGCTGTTCAGAATCAAACTCCTGGCTATGGACATAGTTAGAAAGCTGCATTTTAATCACTGTGCTACCAGAGCTCCTCAATATGGAGGCCATTTTTTTCAAGAACTCCCATATAATTTTATGGACAATAAAGGATTTTATGGAGAGAGGATGGCTGCATAGAACTCAGTATTTCTCAAATTCATGTTTAAAGATCTGTTGATTTTATAGAATCATTTGCACATTCTTGAGATCCCAGCCAGGTCGCCTTGATTTACAGGATCACATATATATCTGTTTCATGTAGGCTGCAAATACAATTGGCTTCTGTAATCAGAACTATCAGGCAACTCCAAAAGCAAGCATTTCAACAGAGACCTCATAATCAAGACATATTCCTGATCTTGTTGTTGCAGCTTCAGTTCTTGCCCAAGCATAAAGGAGGAGCAGACTAAAACTGTCCTCCTTTCTAAAAGTAATGCACATTGGTCCCAGAGGGTAGTGGAAACCAGAGACTTAAGAATGGCATTGGAAAGGCAAGCTTTTTTGGCGACGGGGTGGGGTGGGATCAGTTAGCACTACTTATCTATATATTCCCCCCAGCTATGCAAAACAAGTATGCAACAATGGTTGCTAATAATGTGCCTTGGAGAGTGAAGCTATTATATGTAAATTTTTTGTAAAGTGTTTGACTAGGGACACCTCTTTACTAAACCTTTGTAGCATTGGGCAGTGTCATTCAAATAGTGTTGTGTTTACTACTTATATGTATGCACAGAGGTATTTCAACGGCACTATAAATTATGAGTGAGGAAATTGCCTAGTCAGTGATTCCCAAAATAATGCTGGCCAGTAAATGTATTGCATAATAAGCTAGAATGTCATATGCATCATTGCATGAAAGACACAAATCATATTGCTGGCATCACATTGCTGGCATCAATTGCAAAGTGATATCATGATGCATCTGATGTCATTGTCCCCCTCTTGTGAATGCCTATATCTTCTAGATGTGTCCAATTGCAGTTCCTAGTATCCCTTGGTATTTTCAGGAATATTATGTCAAGAAAGGCTTGTTGGTTTTAAAAGCTAGTATATGTACTGTAAATACTATGATCTGCACCTGATGTAAAAAAATTACATAACTGTGTCTGTGTCTATGTCTAAGAATGTAGCCTTCCTTTTCCAATTTCCTTTTAAGATTTCATTGGGATTCTATGCGGCTGAATTGGCATATATTAGAGTTAACGAGTTACTAACATAATTTCCTTCTTAAAAGTACTATTTCGTAGAAAATCATGGTTGAATGCAATGTACTCAAAGAATTATACTAACCTGTGAAGTATCTGTAGATGGGTTAACTTCCTTACCACACACAGCAGAATTTGTATTTGCAGAAGCTGCTTCTGGAGCCTCTGTCTTCTTGACATTCACTTCTATAGGAATGGAAGCCCCTACCTGCCTACTTTCGATCATTGGAGCTGGATTTGAATTGCTTGTTTGTCGTGGTGGTGCTTTATACCAACTAGGGTAGAAGAAGGGATCAGATGGCTCTCCATTTGACTGTAGTCCAGTTTCTACTAGCCCAGGCTGTGGTGTAGTAGTATCCACAATTTTATCCTTAGTAGGAAAGATTGAAAAAAGGAAAGGAAAAAATAGAATGCATATTATTTGAGGTGTTTATTTTTGTCTTCTATCTCTTCCCATCTTTCTCTCTGAAAGGGCAGCCTCATGAAAACATATATTTTAGTTTTCTATACTTGATATTGATTACTGAAAAATGCAGGAGATCTTAGAGTTTTACTATACTTATCCCCAACTAGAACACAACACATGACATAAACATGTCCTGGCAACATCTTTTTCTATTATTTTCCCATGAAGTTTGCTTCATGTTGGCCCTATCCATGAGTGCTTTCTACCTTATTCCAACACCACACAAGGACAGTCGCAAGAGTATAAAATTTGTGACCAGAGAAATAGTGTGGATTTATAATTATATGGTTATTCTTATTTGACAATATACAATATCTCAGATTAAAATTAAGTGAATAATACATTATGAATATTGTTTTTTTTAGAAAGTTAAGTGTTAGTATTTTATGATATTTTAAGAACTGGTATTATATATTTAGACTTAGAGATTGTTGTATTGTATTATTATCTCTATGGAAAAAAGTTGGGAGTCATTATTGTTATATATTTATTTGATAAGGTTTTTGTCACCTTTTTGACTTGTCCTATTATTCTCTCTCCATTTTTCCTTTTATGTTAGTTTGTATTTTAATGTTTGGTTTTGAAATTTAATAAAAACGTTTTTTTAAAGTATAAAATCTGTTAGCCATCACTTTCCATTACCATGCAAGGAATTTGAAACAGAAGAAATAGAGACAGGACAGGAATTGGCAATGGGAACAGCCAAGGTCAGGCCAGTATAATTTTCTGCCAATTCAAGGATCAGGGGATAACACTTTAACTCAGCAGTGGGGAATTAAAATCCATATAGCAGTGATGGTGAACCTTTTAAAGACAGAGTACCAAAAACCAGCCTACCCCCTGGCCCGGCCCCACTCTGCCCCCTGCTCCGCCCGCAGGGCCACTCACCAAAGATTGTCCCGGCAGCCTTGCAGCACCATGGTGGCCATGCCCTCCGCCAGCAGCCATGCCCTCCACCTGCACCCCGCAACATCATCTGCACGTGATGGTGCATGAGGCGGAGTCTTGCCCTTGCTGCCTGGCTGCAATGTGCTTGGCTGTGCTGCTCTGCATGGGCCGTGCCTGGGGAAGCCTCTCCTCTGGGCAGGCTGCTGGTGAGGGGGGGGGGTTGTGGGGGAGGTGGGGCTGGGGCAACGGCGCATGTCCCCACAGAGAGGGCTCCGAGTGCCACCTCTGGCACGTGTGCCATAGATTCGCCACCACTGTCATATAGTATCAAACTAAGGAAGCGGTAAACTCAGCTTGGTAGTTGTTTGTTAAATATACCATCTGCAGACAAAGTAAAAAAAACCACTAAGGTTTTAAATCTTTTTGTTAAATTCTGATTCTACTTGTTATTTTATTAATAATTATTATGTTAGCTTTATTTTATCCAATGTTACTTTTTTAATCCTCTGTTGATTTTTATTTGTTCTAGGCAATAGGGTATGGCTTTACTTTTAGATGACATTAACAGAAATTATAGTTTTAAAAGTACTGTATCAGAGCAGAAAGGGCAAGATTGGCTAAGTGAGGTTTATTTTCTACTGCTATTGGATTTTTTTATTATGCTGTAAATAAAATTTTAAGGGCTGAATCCAATGGTGGTGTTGTGTATGCAGAAAGCCATTCCACTTGCTCTAGATGAGGTTTTCCGTTTTCACTGATATCTTTACCTACTGCAACCTTCAGGGTAGGAATAGATTGTTTGATAATTCCCAGAGTTACCAGAGAGCAAGAAAATTCTCAGAATTTTATCAACACACTCGAAATGCCAAAAATTGGGGAAGACTGAGCTAATGAACTATCAAATTTAATTAATAAAGGGATTAACAAAGTGATAAAATGTTTAACATAACTGATGTGAGAAGAATAGTTACCTGTTTTGCTGTAGTAGGAGTATTAACTAGTGGGTTAGAAGGTAATGATGGTATCAGATTACTCTGAGATACTGCTAATGTGTCTTTCAATGCAATATCCTGTTGAAGTTGCAGAGATGATGCTTGTTCAGATATTTCATCTTCTTCACCTGATGATTCAGTGTGGATTTCATCTGATGTTTTCCTTTCTGTGGCATCTTCTTCCTCCTCTTCCTCCTCCTCCTCCTCTTCTTCTATTGTAACGTAAAAAAGAAAATACACTAATTGGTTTCCTCTAAAATAAAATTTGTTAATGGAGAATCTTTGGTTCTAAAGGTGCTAGTTTATCCTTTTCTAAGCAGGAATATTTGTCTCTGACTCTGTGAAAGGAATTGAATTGCATAAAAAAAAAAACACAGCCAGCACTCTGAGCAGAATAGTATTTTTGTATCAGTTCCTGTTCATAGATGTTTCTCTCAACACATAATAAAATTATCAACTTGTTTTTCTGTGAAACCTTCCCAAAGGACTTTGAGATTTCCTAGAATGGTTAGCACGTTTTTTTTTTTAGAAGCAGAAACTGTTCATCTAATAATCAGAACACAATAGAGGAAGTAGCCAGTGTAGAGAGTGGACAAACTATCATAGCAGGCTGTTGATTTTCACTCTTGAGTCCTTTGGTTTTTGTCACTGAGTCCTTTATTCCTAGGAAAAGTGGGAAGTGCAATTATGCCCAAGATATGGACATTGGTCAGAAGAAGACATGGATAGCTTATGGATAAATTATTAATCATTGCTATCGTATATTAGTTAAAATAAAAAAAGGTCTCCAGTGGAACAGTCAAAGAACATATTAGACATGTGGGGTTGCCAAATTTATCAAGAACATATGCTTATACCACTCACTGGAGAAGGGCCTAATGCTGGGAAAGATTGAGGGCAATAGAAGAAGAGGACGACAGAGAATGAGATGGCTGGATGGAGTCACTGAAGCAGTAGGTGTGAACTTAAATGGACTCCAGAAAATGGTAGAGGACAGGAAGATCTGGAGGAACGTTGTCCATGGGGTCGCGATGGGTCGGACACGACTTCGCAATTAACAACAACAACAACAATGTATATAAAAAAGAGAAGGGAAATGATTTCCCCTGCCATCAAACTTTCTGTGCTGTACATATGTAAACTATCCCTCCTCCCAATCTGCCTCATGTTTGTGCTGAAATATATATTGAGGAGTATTTGTTTAACAGTAATATAATGTAGCAATTAAAAATGCTAAAGGATATAGTTCCACTTCTTCCCTTAAACTCTCACTTTTTATATAACATCTAGACCAGGGGTAGGCAACCTCGGCTCTTTTATGACTCATGGACTTCAACTCCCAGAATTCCTGAGTCAGCATAGCAGAAATTCCAGCATAGCAGGAATTCTGGGAGTTGAAGTCCATGAGTCATAAAAGAGCCGAGGTTGCCTACCCCTAATCTAGGCTGTCCACATGATTTTGTACTCTATCAGATCAAAGACTTGAAATGAAATAGTATTCTGTGATGAATATGACACGTTATGATGCATGTGATTATCTCAGGACTATGTGGAAAAGGCTTGCTAGCATTCAGTACCTTTGTTTTTGTATAAGGGAATTCTGAACTGTGTAAATGACTTCGTTATACTTTAAATATAGTATAGCTTCACCTTTCTGGTGATAAACATTTCAGTAAAAGCACAAAATACCAAGTTCTGATAAATGATGGTTATAAAGAAGTATTTGTGAACTTTAGTTGCTTTCAGTATAACTAATATAAATGTGGTTAAATACTGTTACCTTCCCACCAAAGTGTTATCTATTTATCCATTTGCATTTGCATGCTTTCAAACAGCTGGGCTGGAAGGAGCTGAAGCAAGAACAAGAGCTCAACTTGTCACTTGGTGTCGGGTCTCAAATTAAGTAAGGGGGTCACACAAATACATTATTTTAGGTGGCATGGCACCATAGAATCCTAATTTAGTTTATCTTGATGAAAAAGTTGCCTTTCTATATTGACAATATTTGTTCCAATCTTTTATTTAAAATAGTTGTTTACACTTTTGTTTCTCACTCTTCATTTACCACTACATGTATGAATACAACAAGGTAAGAGTAGAGAACGAAAAGCTTTCAATTATCACTTTTTCAATAAGATTCCATGAACCTTGACTATCAACAAAATTGACTTTCTTTCTTTACAATGGCTGTAAACACTGGATAAATACTGTTGGCTGCTGTATATAAATACATATACATGCTCACAGATACACACGTGCACACACATAAATAACTTTTCAATATTTTTCAATATATCATTAGTAGTAATTAACATCTTTTGGATACATAAATACACATAATCAAGCTTAATAACTATCTTTATTCAAGGAAATGTCCTATCACGAATCACTATTGGTAATCATTGCTAAGGTTCTGCTAGTTAAATAAACAGATCAGACAGGTTAATAGCTTTGATGTATACTGAATGTTGAAATCTTGAAAGATATACAACACTAATGCCAAAGCTCACATTCTATGAAAAAACATATTTTTCAGCATACTATCTTAGTCTTCACGAGTTTACTTTTGATTATTAGACATGTAAAATATATCTTTAATTTTTGTAGAATGTCAAAAAGGTCTTTCGATTATTTTTGTGACAGGATGTCTTCACAAAAATTGAACGCTTCACAGCTAAAAGGAAAGTAAGCTTTTTTAAAAAACGAAACCTACCTCTGTAAAAGTAAATTTCTCTAATTATCTTTTCTTCTCTATTAAGATTGACTGTGAAGTGGGTCATATTTTCATAGCCTTTATCTATTTTTTCCATCTGAAATGCTTTGGAAGCTTCAGTAATTCTAAAATAGAAACACCATTGTGTCATCAGCATTATTTTGCAACTGAACAGTTTAGAAATTGTTGGCTTACAATGAAAATGGTAACACATCTTTACTTACTTTTGTAGCAACGCTTTAGCATTCTGTGAAAAACAAAATATAGCCAATAAAATAAATTATTTAATAACTTGTTCCCTTTATTTTCAGCATACATATTTAAAGTTAATTCATGTATAAAAATGGTAGTATATACTTTTAACAAATAATAGCTGGAATTCTAACCATAACAAGATATTTCACCAAGATAATGCAAAAGTGGACTCTCTGGGGTAAACCAAACTAGAAAGTATATTTTGATCCAGAAAGATATTTTAACTGTTAATTTCTCTAGGCCACATTGGGAAATAAGAGACCCTCTTGATGTTGTTAAATTAAAACATCCAGCACCACAGTTAGCATAGCTGCAATGCATGTTAGGAGTTATAAGACATGTCACTTGACAACATGTAAACAATTACATGTTCCCCATTCCTGTTATACATTGATGTACACCAGTGGTTCTCAACCTTCCTAATGCTGCGACCCTTTAATACAGTTCCTCATGTTGTGGTCACCCCAACCCCCCATCCAGCTGGCCGGGGGGGGGTTATCAAAAACTTGACCCCAAAAAAAGGAAAAAATGGGAAAGTATAGGTAGTCCTCGACTTACAATAATTCGCTTAGTGACTGTTTGAAGTTACAACAGCACTGAAAAAGCGAATTATGATCATTTTTCACACTTATGATTGTTGCAGTATGTGATTTACATTCGGATGCTTGACAACGGATTCATACTTATGACGTTCACAGTGTCCCAGGGTCACGTGATCAATGGCCAGGGGTCATGGCCAGCTGATCACTCAGGTTGCAGAGTGCCTGTGGGGGGGGGAATCTGTGGGTCTCTGGGATGGTACTGGGGTGGGTGCCTGCCTTCCTTCCCTCCCTTCTCTCCCCTTGTCCCTTCCTTCCTTCTTTTCTTCCTTTCCTTCACCTCCCTCTTATTCTGTTCCTCCTTCCCTCTCTCTCCCATTGTTCCTTCCTTCTTTCCTTCCTTCCTTTCCTTCCCCTCCTTCTTAGTCTCTTCCTCCTTCCCTCCCTCTCTCCCATTGTCCCTTCTTTCCTTCCTTCCTTTCCTTTCCCTCCTTCTTAGTCTCTTCCTCCTTCCCACCTTCTCCCATTGTCCCTTCCTTCCTTCCTTCCTTCCTTCCTTCCTTCCTTCCTTCCTTCCTTCCTTCCTTCCTTCCTTCCTTCCTTCCCTTCACCTCCTGCTTAGTCTCTTCCTCCTTCCCTTCCTCTCTCCCATTGTCCTTTCCTTCCTTCCTTCTTTCCTTCCTTTCCTTCACCCCCTTCTTAGTCTCTTCCTCCTTCCCTCCCTCTCCCATTGTCCCTTTCTTCCTTCTTTCCTTTCTTTCCTTCATCTCCTTATTAGTCTCTTCCTCCTTCCTTCCCTCTCCCATTGTTCCTTTCTTCCTTCTTTCCTTTCTTTCCTTCATCTCCTTATTAGTCTCTTCCTCCTTCCCTCCCTCTCTCCCATTGTCCTTTCCTTCCTTCCTTCCTTCCTTCCTTCCTTCCTTCCTTCCTTCCTTCCTTCCTTCCTTTCCTTCACCTCTTTCTTAGTCTCTTCCTCCCTCCCATCTTCTCCCATTGCCCCTTCCTTCTTTCCTTCCTTTCCTTCACCTCTTTCTTAGTCTCTTCCTCCCTCCCACCTTCTCCCATTGCCCCTTCCTTCTTTCCTTCCTTTCCTTCCCCTCCCTTAGTCTCTTCCTCCTTCCCTCCTTCTCTCCCATTGTCCCTTCCTTCCTTCCTTCCTTTCCTTCACCTCCTTCTTAGTCTCTTCCTCCTTCCCTCCCTCTCCCATTGTCCCTTTCTTCTTTCCTTCATCTCCTTATTAGTCTCTTCCTCCTTCCCTCCCCCTCTCCCATTGTCCCTTCCTTCCTTCTTTCCTTCCTTTCCTTCACCTCCTTCTTAGTCTCTTCCTCCTTCCCTCCCTCTCCCATTGTCCCTTCCTTCCTTCTTTCCTTCCCTTCCTTCATCTCCTGCTTAGTCTCTTCCTCCTTCCCTCCCTCTCCCATTGTCCCTTTCTTCTTTCCTTCATCTCCTTATTAGTCTCTTCCTCCTTCCCTCCCCCTCTCCCATTGTCCCTTCCTTCCTTCTTTCCTTCCTTTCCTTCACCTCCTTCTTAGTCTCTTCCTCCTTCCCTCCCTCTCCCATTGTCCCTTCCTTCCTTCTTTCCTTCCCTTCCTTCATCTCCTGCTTAGTCTCTTCCTCCTTCCCTCCCTCTCTCCCATTGTCCTTTCCTTCCATCCTTCTTTCCTTCCTTTCCTTCACCTCTTTCTTAGTCTCTTCCTCCTTCCCACCTTCTCCCATTGTCCCTTCCTTCCTTCCTTCCTTCCTTCCTTCCTTCCTTCCTTCCTTCCTTCCTTCCTTCCTTCCTTCCTTCCTTCCTTCCTTCCCTCCCTCTTTGTCCCTTCCTCCCTTCCCTCCCTTCCGTTGTTCCTCCCTTCCTTCCCTCTCTCATTGTTCCTTACTTCCCTCCCTCTTCGTCCCTTCCTTCCTTCCCCCCCCTCCATGCCCAGGAAGGGACAAGGGGAGGAGGATAGGCTGCCAGCGTGGCTGGGGGCTTTACTGATGGCAAACCACAGAGACAGAGGAGAGCTCGCCCAGTTCACTTGCTCAGCTTCGCCAAAATGCATGCCGCTTGCTAAGTTAGCAGAAGCTCCAGGATCAGCGCCGGGCTACAGCTGATTCGTGCTTCTGCTAAATTAGCAAGCATATGTTTTCTAGCGAGCAAGTTTGCTGGGCAGGAGTCAAGGAGAGCAGCTACAGCTGCAGAAGCGCGGATCAGCCGTAGAGGCTTGCTCCGATCCTGGACAAGAGGGAAGGAAGGAAAGGACAAGGGGGAGAGGGAGGGAAGAACGGACAAAGAGGGAGGTGAAGGAAAGGAAGGAAGGAAGGAAGGGACAATGGGAGAGGGAGGGAAGGAGGAAGAGACCAAGAGGGAGGGAAGGAAAGGAAGTTCCAGCCAGGAGAGGCTTGCCAGCCCGGCTGCCGAGAAACAGAAGAGCGCAAAGCCAAGGAGAAGAAGGTGGCAGTTTCTTCCGAAAGGGGGCTCCTTTTCTCCACCCCTTCCCTGGTTTGTGGGGAATTTCTCGTCACCAACACTGGCAGTTGCTGCTTCGAGCCCGTCGCGAGCTTTCTCGCCCCCTTTGCTTCTCCCCCTCCACTTTCATGAGGATTGTGGTGCCCTTGGGAAGCCAATTGTGCTTTGAAGCTTAGGAGAGGAGGAAGAGTCCCTTCTTCCTTCCCTCCCTCTTGCGTCAGCTGGCGCAAGTTCGGGGGTCGCCAGCTGATGGGCGCAGGAGTTGGGTGCTGCAGCAGCCTCCCCTTCGCTGACCTGCATGCACGAGAAGAAGTCAATCCGGTTGCTCCACAATGAGTCTCTGGGGAGGGCGGGGCCTTGCTCTGAGCCTGTGCTCTTCATGCGCCCCCTGCAGGGCACATTTGGTAGAGTTTGTGCAGACTGCCGCCAAGCAGCATATTTTCCACAAACAAGTGAGGTGGAGCGGAGGGGGGGAGGGAGAGAAGGCAGTTGACAAGCCCTGCCTAAGACCATCGGAAATATGTGTTTTCCGATGGTCTTAGGTGACCCCTGTGAAAGGCTTGTGCGACCCCCAAAAGGGTTGCGACCCACAGGTTGAGAACCGCTGATGTACACATTCCTAAAATCATGCCCATAAAGATTACGAACTACTATGGTTTGTCCTGCCTGTTCCATCAGAGCCTGAACATTTAGTTCAATACAGCAGCAGCCCCCAACCTTTTGGGCACCAGGGACTGGTTCCATGGACAACATTTTTTTCCACAGACCAGAGGGGGAGTGGAACAGTTTATATCTGCCTGCATCCCATGGATGGGGCTTCACTAGTTTGCACCGCCCGGTTGCTGGCATGCCGCGGCCTGGTGCCAGTCCACAGACCAGGGGTTGGGGACCCTGCAATACAGAACAGCAAACCATTTTGTCCCTTGGGTTAAGCAATAATGTAGGCCAACTAATATCACAAATTGCTCTGTAGCTATGATTCTTGCTTCTTTTGCACTATAGAGTAATGACCAAGATATGCATCAATTATAAGCTGACAAGAGTATAGGATTAGTGCATTTTTCATATTGGGAAATATCAGGCTATTTATAGTCAATTTACCTGATGTACTTAACAGAATGAATTACTAAACTTTAACTTTATGGTTTGGGAGCACTCCCAGCTAAAAATAAAGATACATGCTCTAATATGATACACTCTCATCTCTTTGGAAAATCTGAATGAACTTGAAGATGATCTTCACAAAGTAGGAAATTCTATTTAAATAAGAATCATCTGATTCTACAGATTGGAATATAAACTGTTCAGGAGAAAATCCTATTATGTATTAATATTCAAAATTAAATTGAATTTTTGGGAAAAATTGGATCACATAATATAACCTAATTATTTCCCTATACAGTAAGTTGTATTACATTCCAAAGGGTTTTTATTATCTTCATAAAATAATCCTAGGATAAATGTCATCTCCAATACGTATCTTTTGTTTTTCACTTTGAAAAACATATTTCCCTGTAAGTGTTATATATTTAACCATTTTCTCCCACTTTAAAAAAATATTATAAATTCTATATGTGGTGTGCAAAAATACAATATTCAGACTGAATATGGAAAACTACTACATAGGTAGCTATTCTATAAAACTTAAATTTGAAAAGTACATGATGAACACTCAAATGGTACTTCCTACTCAAATGCTAAGAATTTTTCTCTGAGAGGTTTAGCATAAGGGAAGATTTAATTAGAAACTGTATAATATATTCTCATTTAAAAAAACTTTTCTCCAACATACCTGTAAAAATACAGCCATTTCTGGCTCTTCCATAAATTGGATACCTGATTCTACCAGTTTTGCTACTGTCTCTAAGTGGTCTGCATACTTTTTTATCAGAGACCGGACATGTTCCAATTTCTCTTCTTGGCTCCGAGTGATTATTTGTGTCATCTCACTTTTTCGTTCTTCCAATATTAAGTACAAATAATCAAATTTTTCACATAGTTGCTCTTTCTGCCTTTTGCAGCATTCCTGTGAAGTGAATAATTAGCTTTGTGTTAAAAGTATTATGTCGACTGCATCTGTTTTTATTTTTATAAATTGAGGGAAATGCCTCTGCACTGAAAAAGCTTTTTCTTTTTCTTTTTAAATCTTTCACAGTGGCTTATAGAAGCCAATAAACTTCACTGATTGAGACAACTCATGAAGGTGATACGAACAAAGAGGGAATTTTGAGTTTTGAACATTCCAGAGTAACACCCAACTAAATTTGCCTCAGAATAGGAATAATAATGAAACTTTTTTCAAACACTGATGGTAGAGCTCTAGAAATTTCTATTTAAGCATCAAGATTTTAGAATAAATATTCTAAAAATATGAACTACAATAGCTTTTAAAATAAATGTTTATACCAAAAATGCTCAAATTCCTCCAAACCCCTCAAAACATTGTCATTTACAATGTTTTTAATTACATTACATTATAAATAATAAATATTGTAATGTAATTGTAAATTATTAAAATTACTTTAGAATTACTTCTCAAGATTCCAATATCTTCTATTACATTATAAATGTAATAGAAGATATTGGAATCTTGAGAAGTAATTCTAATAATTGTATGTAACTAATTTAATACAATGTGATTACATATTGTCAAACTAAACCAAAATTTATTTTTGTTTAGGCTCCAGTGTTGGCTTTGTCCTGGCTATCTCTCTTAAAATATGATTAATTTCCAGGTATGTAATATAGATTTGCCATTTTAAATACCCTGAAATAAGTTTTTCCTTTACATAAATTGAACATTCAAAAACCCTGTGAAAATTTCCAGAACTAAATATAGTTTAGTAAGATATACTTTGCTTTTGCAACTGAATAATCACACTATTTTAATAGCTATACCTTATTTATGATTTTCAGCAAGCCAATTTAAGAAAGGCCATAAAATATGCTATCTTAATAAACAAGTCAGAAACTCCCTCATATAACTTAGTTTTATTTTTGATTCCAGATGGGGAAAGAAATGCATTTTGCATTTTTACTCAATAGGAAAAGGATTGTATTTAAGTTCCAAGTGACTATTTGGTTTCAAGATCATATTGGTGTCTAATGGGCACAAACATTATATGAAATTAAGAAAAATAATTAAGCTATTACTGTAGAAAGTACAAAGGCTGTGATCCATATGTTCTATTACTGAGGGACACAGAGTTATTTGGAATTATGAAAAAGAACTTCCTTGGCTCACACATATGAAGGATGTGTCCTCATAGGATTGTTTTGGATCTTCCTTTATTGTATTGATTTTTGTTGAGCAGAAAAAATGTCTTTCCTGTTGATTTGATGTTTTTAGATATAACCTTCTTACATTCATGTTTTCAGTTTTACATTAATTATATTTAAATAGTCTTGCATTTGGAATTTTTAATTGGTAAAATCATTCTGTTGTGCAAACATGTTAGAAGTTTGGGGTATTGCCTTTCTAAATAAACAAAGAAAACAAAATATGGAAAACATAATGAAAGCTGTTTCCCAAAATACCATGCATTATTCTTGGATGCTAAACCTATTAAATGCTATGAAAATGAAAGGATTTATGAGCATCTGCATTTCTTAGATTAGATTTGGAAAGTAAGCGTTTGAAAAAAGTGGGAATTATATGTAAGTAAGTCATTATTGAAAAGAAATAATATCTGTCTTGATGATTGCTTCTACTTCATATTGGATTGTTTGTAAAACCTTTAACAAAGGCTTTGGATTTATTTAAGAACTTTTTTTTGTTTGCAACTAATTATGGCACTCTGCTTTTTACTGTTGTGTTCATCTGATCCTTAGACCATATCTGAGGTGATGTTAACTCTCCTTAGGTCTATCAGTGCCTTTTTTGCCTTATTCTGACACAGCTTTTGCAGTTGGTAAAACTTTATGCATTTCTATTACCATGCTATCAATAGTGCAGTTGGGTGATTCCTAAAAGATGGATCATTCCAACAACTATTGGATATTTAGATTCACATGTTAGTCTTCTCCTCCCATTCTTGGACATTGTCTTCTAGAGCTATTCTGCTTTAAGCAGTGGAACAGTCCACTTCTTTCAAATTGAGTTTTCACGAACTCTACCTGGTCTCTGAAACATAAGTCACCCTGAAAAACAGCTAATAGTGTTGGTGCCATACTAAGGGCTACACAGTGAATGGTAGAGGCAGACCTGGTTCTCTCTCTTCTGCTTTCCAACACAACTCCCATCACAATGTCATCTTTGCTTGAGTTACTTTTCAGCATGCCCTTAGTGTTCTTCTAAATATCAGCTGGAAATTGGGCTGCTTTGAACACAGCTACATAAACACTTATAGAAAGCCAGATCATGTTTTGGTAGATGCCTAAACCTAGCAGTCTAGCTATCTGTTAAAACATGTCTTTCCCTCCCTCCCTTCCTTCACATCCTATTCCATGTTAAGGAAAATGAATGATGGATGTTTTCCTGCCGGTTGCTGACATTTGGTAGGAAGAAACAAAAAGCTAGGAAAATATAGCAAGACCCATCCTTAGCATGCTTGGTACATTGTAACTAGACAACACAATTTATTGGCATTGTTTCTATGGTAGTAAGGATCATCACTGGATGTAACAATTTTTATGTCAATATAGTTTTATGTCAATATAGTTTTCTGCCACCTCAAGGATTAAGCTTGACTGTAAGGAAGAGTCCTAAGTTGCTAAAACTTCAATATTACAGTATCTCTCCTTTGGAAAGAGTTTAATTCTTACCGTGAATGTACTTGAAAGGCTTGCTATGGTCTGCAAACTCCTGATACCAACACATTTCATCCTTGCTATATACAGACTCCCTTTATGCATACTTGCAAAATGTGACGTCTTAACTTTTAAATGCTAATATTTTCATACTTTCCTTGGCTCAGAAATTTCAGCAATTTTGAACCATGTTTGCTATATTATTTCCTCTCCTATGTTTTGATTACTGAAAGGACTCTTATGGATTTTTTGCAAATTAGAATGACATATTGACATGTAAGCTTTACCTCATTTTTTCATTTAAAATGAAAAACAATTTCCATAAATGTGCTTGTTTGCTTTTTTTTTTTATACAAAAGGATTCTTGTGTAACATCTTATACTGGGTAAAGGTTTAATACAACATGGGAATTAACACAATCATAGTCTCTCAGAGTCTTAAAAAATACAAATAACAATATATAGAGCCATCATTTCTCTCACATATTTCTTCTCATAATTCAACCATGTAATCATTACTGTTTAATTGCATTGTTATTTAAAGCTTAAATTCAATGTCTGAGATTCATGAGGTTGTAATACTTGATCAGAACCTTCTTTTTCACAAATTTCTGTAAAATAAAAACATTTATTGTGAAGTAAAGGAATTATTAGCTGCAATTCATATTCATGTGGTTTATTTCCCACTTCTGCAATTGTTTCCTTTGAGTGGCCTAATTTACTTGTCTCTACATATTTATTATTCCATGCCTTTCTTACAAAATCATGGAAATATGATACACCATGTATTGTATTGAAAATGTGGATAGAGAGAAAATCCCATCTCTTTGAAGATTAGAACTTAGGGTCATCTATTAAAAGAAAATGAAGAAAAATTCACATCTATTGAAATTGAATATAATATAAATGGACATATCAAAACTGTATTTCACATTGTCAGAGATCATGATGGTCACCAATTTTTAGAGTTTTTACAGGGGACTCAATCAATTCATAGAGGAGCAGAATATTTATTTATTTATTATTTATTTATTTTATGAGACTTATATACCTCTTTAAGTGCAAGCACTCTCTAAGCGGTGTACACCAGTAAGCAATGTATATATATATTTACATTGCCCCCAACAATCTGGGTCCTCATTTTACCTACCTCGGAAGGATGGAAGGCTGAGTCAACCTTGAGCCGGTGAGATTTGAACTGCTGACCTGCTGAACACAGTCAGCTAAAGTGGCCTGCAGTACTGCACTCTAACTGCTGCGCCACCTCGGTGCCACCATATCAATGGTTACTCATCTTGATGATTGCTTACTATTTGTAGAATCATGGTTGCTTGTTTTTATTTTATGAATTAATACAAAACTGGGAAGCTGGCATGTTATGAAGGAAACAAAGTACCAGGCTTTAGCATTGTCTGTTTTCAAGAATTCTTCAAATCCAAAGGCATTTTTAGCAAAAAAAACCCAAAACAAAACAAACAAACAAATGAATAGACAAAACCACAATTATGGGTGGTTGCAGCCTGGTGCTTGGTCTGTCTGCCCAAGAAAATAAAGATAGGGAGTGAAGCAAAACAGAATGGGAAGAACTAAACGGGTGCCAAATAGTATTCTGCTTAACTGATACCCTGTAACTAGTTATCTCCTCCATGACAGCCATTTTGTGACTGGGACAATCCCTGGGACAATCCCTTTGGCAGCAGTGGTGACTGTGGGCTTACAGGGCAAGTGGTGAGTTTGAGGAAAACAGGTTCTGATGTTGCTTTCGCATCTAGAAGGGCAGAGCTTTGCAAAGTAGTGTTGCTTTTGCTTATGATGAAAGCACCAGGAGCTTGCAAATCCCCATGCTTGCTAGCTTTTCATGAGAGGACATACTATAGAGACCAAGGAAGATTTGTTCATGGGATCTTAGTGCTTCAGGTAAGCAAAAGGGGTTGAAACATTTTTCAAGTCTAGAGAAACAAGAGAATGTTTCCAGTGAATCAGAGGTTGTCCTGATTCATTGAAATATAAGGAGGGGGAGGAGGTACAGCACAATCCAATTTGCAAGATTGTCTATAAAAGGAGTTTTAGCTTCCCTGTGGAGTTAATTTCCTCACTGGTTTACTAGTAGTGCAGCAAACACCTACCCCATAGACTAAAAATTCTAAAAATGCCTATTGGTTCCAGAAGGCTGGCAGCTCTAGACAACATTTGTGGAAGTTGCAAAGAGTTGTGAGCAACAAGAACTCTTTTTCAGAAAGAAAGACTTGTGTAAGCTAAAACTGTGGAATTCCTCATCCACATACTATATGGAGACAACATTGGAACAAAAAACCAAAATAGCACTTTTAAGCTGCACAGTCACACACCTATATTTATTTACCTGTAAACAAATATAATATATTACAATGTCCTAGGTTCTTGGGAAGATCTTGATGCATATGAAGGCCAACACCAGTTAAAAGAACTGGCAGCTATGACTTCAAATTGTTGTGAAGAGATAATAATAATAATTTGACTCAATGGTATCAAAATAGTGTTTGCTTACTTCAACTGTTCTGCAGGTTTCCTCCAGCTGAGTTACAATTCCTTGTACTCTGTCATTACTTCCCACGAGCACAGCGATCCCATCACTAAGTTCAGACTGTGATATAAAATAAACATATACTTTGGGAAAATATAAAGCATTGTAGTAATCTATTTTTTTAACTTTATAATCATTAAAACCTTCCTAAAAGGATACTGAAAAAGTGTCTATTTTATTTAGTTACTAAGGAGATACAAATAGTTCTCAAAATTTCTCATAAATAAAATTGCTGAATATAATACTTTTGCCAAAAGAGGAAGTTATTATAACAAATGTATTTAACTGAGGTGTTTTCTTTTGATATTGAAGTCTGATTGGCATGATTTAATTCTCCCACTAAAAATATTTTAGACAGTTTCATGTTAATTATTCTGTCCTCTGATCTTTTCATATTTTTTCCTGTAATTTTTGAAACAAACATACACCAGTAAATTTTACTATAAGCATACAATAAAAATAGCTTCTTATAATCACAATACAGAGCGATTTCTTGTTATCTGTAGGAGGAAATATAGTGATCGATGTACATAAGTATAACACTTTCTATTTAGAAACCTTTTCAAAGCACAATTTCATATGTGTTATTTCAGAATAAGAGAACATGTTTATCAGGTTGAAAAAAATATATATTTTTCAACCTGATAAACATGTACTTAGCTTTAATATTGACAAATATAATAATGGGCTGCTTCCAAAAGCTCTGTTTAAAACTGGCTCTGTATCATGGCAGCCTCAGCAAGGCTTTCAAGAAATTGTGTTGCATTTCTCATGAGGATATTCCATATAAACAGCTGTTTAATGAATGCTGTGTTAAAAATAAATAGACCTTTAACAGATGGCAGCAAAGGATTCTGGGAGCATCTCTGAACTTTTTTATTCCATGGCCAAGAAATTATTGGCAAAATAAAAAAAAATCTTAATAACTAAAAAACAATGACGGACAGACAGACAGAAATATATTGGTTTGCAGACAGAGGCATTGTCAGAATAGAAACCAGAATCTGAAATCAAAGACTGAAGATATTTGGATATAACTTTTTAAAGAATGCTAGATTCAGACTAGTACATTTCAGAGTAGAAGAAAAACAACAACAATAAAATATAATTAGAAGGACTGTGGTCAACAGCAACTGGTCGGGAGTGGGTGGAACAAGTGTTTCAGCTTGCCCTGTGGTACCCAGACTTCAACCTGATGAAGACTGAGACACTACATGTATATTGCCAGCACTTGAAGCTATCAGTGAAAATTTTATAATGTCTGCAATCTACTATTTATATTGTTTTCATGTCACATTTAGGAATACTGTGAAAAGATAAAAGGCAGTTCTACCATGCCAGACTATGTTAGTCTGAAATATCAGGGGAACTCACTGATGGAGGAGTTGTGTGCATCTTTGGGATATGATTAAAATCTGCAAACTGATGGATGTTGTGGTAGAAGCCCCACCCTTTTTGTATACAAATTCAATGCTGCTGCATATACAAATGGAGTAGGGCTTTGACTGCAAAGCTGTGCCCACCGTATTGTAAATTTTGGCCATCTGAAGAAACCCTCCAGAAGATATTTTGCTGTGGGCTTTATAGGCATTCCTCTGGAAGGGATGTGTAGTTGGGGAAAGTGGTAAAATATATGTCATGACATTGTGTCATTATCCATTATGTATATTTGTATTGGATGTGATGTTGCAATACAAACACAAAAAGGGTGTGTAAAGTCCTCCTTCTTGATGTTATGATGCATGTTTCATTATTTTGGTGCTGTTAGGATTAAGAATTGATGCCTATGGTGAGTTGCATTGAATATGAAATTGAAATTGATGTAAGGAGTTTAGTTTCACAGGGAACAAAGATGGAAGAAATTAGAAATTTATTATAAAGATACTCAATATACGATGGCAACTATGTGAAAAACATAAAGAAATGCTTCTATATGATACCAGACCAATTTGGAGGCCATGAAATTAAAACATTTCTCCAGAAACCACTTGCATTGATTATATGGCATGTGATATCTGCACACCAATAACATGCAGTGGTTACTCTGGCAAAAATTTGAATTGGAAACTCCTCAAACAAAACTTCACTTTTTCCCTATCGCGAATATTGGTGATGTTGAGAATTTCAGTCTGTTACCTCTTCAAGGCACCATATTTGGAATAGCAGCATAGATTCAAATATTGCACATTGATTGCAATTGTGTGCCTGTCAGCTGGAGCAACAGATTGAGTAGATTAAAAACAAAATCCTTTAAAGACCTAAGATCTAAACAAGATAACTTCAGTGGAAGATAATGATGTACTTTATGCATTCTTATAACTTAATTTTATAAGCAGAGAGTTATTAATTCTCCAAATGAGAAGCCATTAAAAAAGAAAGATTTTTTTTTTTACCTTCTGTCTTTGGAAAACATTCGAGAGGGGAGCAACCTGACAGTCTTTATGAGCACCAAAAACTTTGCACATTGAACAGGTGGGCACTTCACAATTCAGGCAATAAATATTAATTTTCTCATCTTCATGTTCTTCACACATTGGCTGCTCAGTTTTTCTTTCAGGCCTGTGAACGGAATTAATTTAGGAGCAAAAAGCAAATCTAAATCAGAATGATTTAAAAACTAAAGATCAAACCAAAAGAGGCAGATCAGAATATTTTTCTGTTTGGAAGGTAACTATGAAACTGATAGCAGGTCTCTGGGAACACAGGGAGAGCAAACAAATTCCTATTATTTTATTTATTTACTAGGTTTTTATTCTGCTTTTATTACACTAAGAATAACTCAAGAAGAATAACTTCTTCCTCCTATTTTCTCCACAACAACCCTGTGAGATGGTTGAGCTGAGAAAGAGAGTGACAGGCTCAACATCATCCAGCCAGCTTTCATGTCTAAGAAAGGACTAGAACTCACAGTCTCCTGGTTTCTCGGCCAGCACCTTAATCACCACACTAAATAGTTTTATGCAGCTTTTTAATGAAGATGTTAGGAACTGAATCTGCGACAACCTGCTTGCAAGTGTGTGCTTCCTACTATTGAACAATTGGTCTCTCCCAAATAGAACAATATAAAGAAAAAAAGGCCCTGAGAATGAAAAAAAATATATGGGGATATGAAATCATCAGAGGTGTCTGCATGCTACTGTTCAAAAAGTGAAGATGGCAGCCATGACAATGCAATGAAGCTCTACCTGTTTATTATTGTATATATATTTAAATGTGTGTGTGTGTGCGCACGCACACACACACACACACACACACACACACACACACACATGTAGGTCTTTGGTTATTCGGGTTTTCTCCCGTGTCAAATTGGAAGTGACTTGGCGACGTTTCGACGAAGTCTCATTCGTCATCTTCAGGCTGGTGTTTTCGGTTTCGTGCTTCTAGGAGCACGGCTTCGTGCTCCTAGAAGCAGGAAGCCAAAAACACCAGCCTGAAGATGACAAATGAGACTTCGTCGAAACGTCGCCAAGACACTTCCAATTTGATGCGGGAGAAAACCCGAATAACCAAATACAAACACCCGCAAAAACCTCAGAAAACAAACACACACACACACACACACATTATATGTCTCTGTGTGTATGTATATGTGTTTAAGTATAATATATATAATTAAATAATAGTCAGAAAACAATGATCTCAATGTATTGATTCTCATTAAAGATGTAAAGGACTGGCTGGTTGAAAAATATCACCAATATTGTATTTAAAACAAGCTATCTTCTAATGGAGTGAAATATGGAAAGGACATGAATATTTGGAAAGACCTCTATGAAAAGTTAAAAGACTTCCCAATAAGTTAAAAGACTTCCCAATAATTTGCCTCCCTTGCTAAAGCACCAATATAAAACCATTATTTTTTTTAATACAGTTGTAGGCAGTAGCTTAAAGCATCTTCTATCTAAGGGAAGTCTAAGGCCGCTTCAGTGCCAGCAGGAGTTCCACCCCATTCCCCATCAGTCACAAAGCAGTTATCTCAGTTTCAAGTGGGGAAGAAGTCAAATTCAGTCAAAGATATGGGATGCCATAAACCAATCAGACATCACAATCTTTCTTACTGTCAAATTAATAGTAGAATGCAAAGAATACATTAATATCTGGTCAGAATCTGTCTCCCTGAGCCATTATCAATTAACAGGTGTGATCCATGGGCAGTAAAATGTCCAGGTCTAAGCAGTTTTCTTTATTGTTCCTCACCTACAGACAGAAACCAAAGCAACTACTCACATCATTAAAGATATACTCTGAGAATTGCTAGGGTGGAGTTGTCTTAACTTTCTATCTCTTAATCCCTCTCAGCTGGGAATCCAGACTACATTCCACCACATCTTAACATACAGAATGTATTAGACATTCATATTACACAAGCTGTCCTGGTAGTGCACGTTTTTAAAATCAAGACCCACAATACACTTTCTGAAATTAAACAAACTGTTTAGTTTTATGGACTTTCATCATTTGCAATAGTGTGACTAAATCATTTTTATAATGTAGTTATTAAAAGCACAAAGATACTTATTTTTGCGGAAGAATCAATAGACCTTGTTTTCATGATAGAATTCACTCAGAATAAGTCTTTCTTGTGTAATATCCATTATATTGCATTGAATTAATTATAACAGTAATATACAACCATCACATCACTATATATTTATAAATTATTATATATTTAATTTAAACTTCAAAGAAAGAAATCACTTAGCATGACCAATTTACTATTGCATCCTTTATAATTGTCTTGGGTAGCATGGTCCTATTTGATACACACCATACATACAGTATAATGAGCAATTTTTGAAATCATATCCGAGCACAAGAAATTTTTTCTTGATCTTACTCAAGGAATAGATGTCGAACTACCCTGCTTAAAATGTCTGAAGTAAAGTGACCTTAAGTTGTGCACAGACTGAGACTCAGGCCTGTAATACAGCAGAATGAAGTGAAGACTCATATATAAGTCCAATATCAAAAAGTAATGATCTTTCTGTAACTGTTGAATAAGGAGATGACATCCTTAAATCCTATTTTCTACTGACCTTTCCCCTAGTTCCATCCTCCTTTATTCTCCCCTCTGTTCTTTCAATGCTGAATGTCTGCACACTGTCTTTTAAAATTCCCATGCACTAGTATAGCATAATTCCAAGCATTAATATTACAGTTGTCAAAATGTTATTGCTGTCTAATAGTTTTGACATAAAAGTCTACTGTATATAGCAAACTGCTGGAATAAGGTATTTACCTTTGGAAACTTCTTTAGGGGCTCTTTCATGTCTGCTCCTATCATTTAATGCTTCTCCATATGAAAGCATTCCATTTGTAGAGAACAAAGAAATGTTTTTATATGGAAAAATATACAGTAGTTATATGGACAGGTTTGAGGAGCCCCTTCCTAAAGTTGCTAAATTCCACAGATATATTTATGGCATTTTCTTCTATTTGTGAGAATTTGGTGTGAACAGGGCTTTTTTTCTCAAAGAACGCCCAGAACGGAGTTCTGGCACCTTTTTGGGATGGAACCTTGTAGGCAAGGCGGGTTGTATGATGTGTGTGAGTTCCGGCACCTTTTTTTTTTTTTTTTTTTTAGAAAAAAAGCACTGGGCGTGAGTATTGTACTATATGTGTTTTAAGCTTCTTAATCAACAAAAGAGATAAGATAACATAAACAATTTGTGGGTCAGGTAGATGCCAAGCAGTGGAAAAAAGAGGAGCACAGAAGCAGGTATTAGGCCACTTTTTGCTGCTATTAATCTTTAGCTTTTTAAAATAATCCTCTAAAAAGTAGTGCTGGGCAAGATAGGCCTATAGGACACATAACTATAGTAAACAAAATTTACTGTCCAGAATTACTTCTTGGGCAGTTAGAAAGATCTGATGAAGACTGCTGTTGATAATTATTACAATTTTTCCTTCATAACTGCTTAGCATTAAAATTCCAGGCCTGAATTTTCCCAAATTCTCTGTTTGACTCTTGAGAAGTCTAATTCCCTGCATTTCAAAGGCAAATACCATTAAATTAAATGGGATGGATAAATGAACTTTCAAAGTGAAATTGTTAATTACCTGGAAGATTCCTGTTTGTATATATCAATTATATTTTCCACCAGCAGGTTTCTTTGAAGGCCATACACTCCATGCCTGTCAAGAACTACTTCATGTCTACAGGAGGGGCAGCGAAATCGACCTCCTGAAGCCACAGTGGTGCCTCCTCTGGTTGGAAGATATGGATTGGAGGCCTGTTCTTGCCAAGCAATAAAACAAAGTTGTAAAGCCAATCGTATATTATTTCTCAATTATTCTGCACATCACAAGATACTTATCATACCATCTACTTAAGATATGATCTAATGTGTTAATGTAGTCATTGTTATGGTATTAGTGGACTTCACATGAAGTCAAATCTCAAAAAAGTAGAAAAAAGATAAATAAGTTTCAGTATCATTTTGTTCGATGCTTGGAAGCTAAGAATATGACAAATTAAGCTAGAGAGAAATTTGCCATTTTTAGAGGTGTTGAGGAACAACAGGAATGAGTTTATGTGTTAATAGCTCTAAATACTTGAAATAACACTTCAGTTCATATAAATAAAAGGGACATTTCCAAATGCAAGGGATCCAAAATCACACATAAGATAAATAACAAACAACTTTTCCTCTAATTAATTTTCTCCTTATTTAAATAAAATTCTGGTAATTAAATCAACACAGAAATATTCTCCTGATTCTGTAGTATGAGATCATTAAGCTAGATATAACGCTAACTGGAGGCTTAAATGTTTAAATCAACATACCTGGAAGATATCGCTGGCACATTTTCTACAGAGATTATGCTGACATGGAAGGATAACCACTGGCTTAGTAAACATTTCTAAACAGATGGGACAAATAAGCTGCTTCTCCAAGTTATCCATAGTTTGCTGCTCTTTAGAAAAAGACTTATAATTCAGAGTGGCGCTCATCTCCTGGCTATTGCAAGGATCATAGACTCAGAATCAGGGTGCTTCCGGGTTAGGTCGCTCAAAAGAATTCCCAAGCTGGCAAGATCAAATGTCCTTTGAAAATCTTTCCCTGGAGGACATTGTTTTAATGGAGAGCAAAAGGAGCGGAGTTTATTTTAGAAGCAGAATGCAATTGGCTGCCAGACTCACTTTCTCCATATATGCCTCTGACACAAGGACAGATTTAGACAGGTGACAGCCTACAAGAGTGAGAGGGCCACATTCTTGGGTTTGGTATGAAAGTGGGTGGGGAAAGGGGGGGAAAAAAGGAAGATTTTGACAGTTGCCAGTAACGTCTGCACAGATGTACAACTCTGTCTTTGGAAAAACTGGTGTGTTAAAGTCACTAATGAATGGAAGCTGTTCTTATCATTTTTTAAAACTGTCATTCCAATATGGAAAGCACAAGATGCTGCAAGATAAATGTATACAGTATTACATTTTGTGCATAATAAAACTACGGTTATTCCTTTTTCCTCCTAAGCATCCTCCTCAGCCTGGTGATAATCATTGCAAGATCCCCAAAAATACATGCACTCTGAAGACTGATTTCTTCTTTCAAGCCTTTCCCTCAGTTGATTTTATTGAATACTTCAGAGTTGCATTTATGTCTTTTCTTTTCTGCGTGGTTGTATCCATGTAGTCAATATAAGTTGACTACCTGAATAAGTTGAATTTAACCTGGCCGGTGATTTTAGTTCCTAAGGTTTATAAATGTTAATGTTTGGATTTTATATATTTTTTTATTTAATTGCACAGGATTTTACCATTGTAAGCCACCTTGTCCCACAAGGAAATACTGAGTTTTACCTGAACAAAAATATTTCAGGCAATCCTCATTTAGCAATAGTAATTGGCACTGGAATTTCTTTTGCTAAACAATGTAGTCATAAAGCACAATTTCATGTTTCATGACTTAGTGACAGAAATCCCGACACTTCTGATTGCTTTTGTTAAGCGAATCAACACAGGTCGTTAAATGAGACGTCACTATTTACAGCCTCCTGCTGGCTTCCTCATTGGTTCTGCTTGTAGGAAGTTGGCAAAGAAGTTGCAAATAATGGTTATGTGACTGCAGGGCACTCCAATGTTATAAAGACAATCCAGGTGTGAGTTCCCGGATTGCAATCACGTGACAGTCACTGCAATGATTGGAACTTTGAGAACTGGTCATGAGTATCGTTCGTTCAGCACCATCATAAGTTTAAATGGTAACTAAATGAATGGTTGTTAAACAAGGATCACCCATACTAGGATAGCCATCTCCAAATAAAAGTGTTGTTTCAAAGAAAGGTACTTTCTTTGAAACTACAGCTTGCAAGCATTGTATGATTATTATAACATAGTATGACCACTTGCGTTTTAAGAGAAAATGAAAGCATTATTAGAAGTGCTGACTCTTAATTAAAGTAACCTCTTGTATATTTTCTAGTTGTTCAATATTCAATTGAGGTAATCAGAAAAATGATGCTATTAAGAATTGTGCTTTATCAAGAGGCAATTGGACTTTCTTTGTTTTTCCTGGAAGACGCAAGTAGGCTGTGAGTGCTGGCACTTGTCTCTCACACGTGGGGCTGCAAGGGTTGGTGCCCGCTGCTCGCGTAAGTGGCTGTGCGTGTGCGCACATGCACTGGCCTGCCACTCAAACAGCCTGGTTGTGAATAGGCCGCAGTCCGGTAGTGCGCCATGGCCCACCGGTTGGGGACCCCTGGATTATAGTATAGGTAGTCCTTGACTTACGACCATAATTTAGACCAGAATTTTTGTTCTTAAGCAAGGCAGTTAAAAATCAGTTGCACCTGATTTTAGAACCAGGTGCAACTGATTTTTAACTGCCTTTGCTTAACAACAAAAGTTTTAGAACTGTTTTTGATTGTTAAGTAAATCACTGCAGTTAAGTGACTCAGGCAGTTGTTTAGCAAATTTGACTTTCCCCATTGACTTTGGTTGTTGGAAGCCGACTGGGAAGGCCATAAATGACAATCACATGACCCTGAAATGTTTCAACTGTTGTGAATACATGCCAGTTGCCAAGCACCTGAATTTTGATTGTGACCATGATGGTGCTGCAATAGTTATATGTGCAAGGACTGGTCGTAAGTCACAAATGGTTGCTAAATGAATGATTTTAAGTTAAATACTACCTTTATACAGAAGGAAACTGATAAATAATGAAGAAAAACCCAGCTCATTATTTTTAGATCATTGCATGAAGAAACTAAAGTTTCTGAGATAAAGTTAAAAACTCCCTATTGATCCTGTTTCAGACATATGTAAAAATGGAGTGGAGTAAATACGTCTTTTTGTTCCCTCAACAAAACAGTGGGTGCTATTGCAGAAAAGAGTCTTATTCTGGATCCTGATAGAGATCTTTGACTGACAGGATCCAAAGTAGGCCCTCTCTTCCAGCATGAGTAATAATAATAATAATTAATAATAATAATAACCTGCTTACCAACAACTTTCAAGTTACTAACTGATGTGGTAGCTGATGCAGTACAACAGCATCTAGTTGAAAACAATCTCTTTCCACCTGAGCAGAAAGGAAACCGCCCCAATAGCAGAGGAACAAAAGATCAACTCCTAATAGACAAAATGATCTTGGAAAACTGCAAGAAAAGGAAGACCAACCTGAATGTGGCATGGATTGACTACAAAAAGGCATTTGACTCTCTGCCACATGACTGGATAATCAAGTGCCTAGAAATAACAGGAGTAGGTAGAAACATCAGAAATTTTGTGCAAAGATCGATGGCACAATGGAATACACAGTTGCAGATCAATGGTGAGAGACTGGGAGAGGTTAATATCAAGAGAGGAATATTTCAAGGAGATTCATTGTCACCATTACTGTTTGTTATTGCATTGTTTCCTCTGTCAACAATACTGAATAACTCAGGACACGGCTATCAAACATCAAAAACATCTACCAGACTATCCCATCTCCTTTACATGGATGATCTGAAGCTGTATGGAAAAACATTATCTGAAATAGAATCGCTGCTCAACACTGTCCGAATATATAACCAAGATATTGTTATGGAGTTTGGCTTGGACAAATGTGCCACACTTACTATTAAAAAAGGAAAAGTAGTGAAAACTGAAGGAATCAAGATGCCCCACAAAAATAACATTAAGAGTCTGGATGAGGAAGATTACTACAAATACTTGGGTATCCTTCAAACTGACAACATCAAGCACACTGAAGTCAAGAAAAAGATTAGAGGTGAATACCTCAAGAGAGTGAAGAAGATCTTAAAGTCCAAACTCAATGGAGAAAATACCATAAGGGCAATCAACACCTGGGCAATTCCAGTCATTAGGTACACAGCTGGAATAGTAGACTGGACTCAAGCAGAACTAAAAGCAATGGATAGGAAGACCAGAAAAATAATGACAATGAATCATGCCCTTCATCCACGCAGTGACATTGACAGACTTTATCTACCAAGGCAAATAGGTGGGCGTGGAATGCTACAAGTACATCAGATGGTTGAAGAAGAAAAATGGCTTTGGAAGAATATCTGAAGAACAATGATGAAGATGCACTGAAATTAGTATATCAGGAAGGCTTACTAACTACTGGAGAGACCAAACTGGCCTACAAGAAAGACCAAATGAAGAACAGAATAGAGGCATGGGAAGACAAAGCACTACATGGCCAATACATTAAAAAAATAGCTGGAAAAGCAGATAATAATAAAACCTGGCAATGGCTAAGAGCAGGAAAATTGAAGAAAGAGACCGAGGGACTAATTCTGGTTGCACAAGACCAAGCCTTAAGGACAAATGCATACAAAGTCAAAATTGAGAAGACAGCAACAGACAGTAAGTGCCGCCTATGCAAAGAAGCTGAAGAAACAGTGGACCACTTGGTAAGCTGTTGCAAGAAGATTGCACAGACTGACTACAATCAGCGGCATGACAAAGTAGCAACAATGGTGCATTGGAAGATCTGCAAAAAATATCATTTGCCTGTAAGCAAAAACTGGTGGGATCATAAAATAGAGAAAGTCATAGAAAATGATAAATTAAACTGCTCTGGGACTTCAGAATTCAAACAGACAAGCACCTGCAACATAACACCCCAGACTTAACAATTGTCGATAAGAAAGACAAAAAAGTCTGGATAGTGGACGTGGCAGTGCCTGGAGATAGCAGAATAGAAGAGAAAGAACTGGAGAAGATAACAAAATACAAAGACCTACAAATAAAAATAGAAAGACTGTGGCAAAAGCAAGCAAGGGTAGTACCAATAGTAATAGGCTCCTTAGGTGCAATCCCAAAACACTGGAGCACCACTTGAACACCATTGGCATTGACAAATTCGCTATTAGTCAATTGCAAAAGGCGGCCTTACTAGGAACTGCTTCCATCCTGCGACGATATCTGTAATACCATCAAACATCCACCTCTGCCTATCCAGGTCCTGGGTAAGGACTCGATAGGTAGACAAAATGCCAAATCCAGTCTGAACATCTGGCTGACTGTGCGATGATCCATAATAATAATAATAATAAAGTTGGAAGGGACCTTGGAGGTCATCTAGTCCAACCCCCTGCTCAGTCAGGAAACCCTATCCCATTTCAGACAAATGGCTGTCCAGTCTCTTCTTAAAAACTTCCAGTGTTGGAGCATTCACCGCTTCTGGAGGCAGGTTGTTCCACTGGTTAATTGTTCTAACTGTCAGGAAGTTTCTCCTTAGTTCTAGGTTGCTTTTCTCCTTGATTAGTTTCCACCTGTTGCTTCTTGTCCTGCCTTCAAGCGCTTTGGAGAATAGCTTGACTCCCTCTTCTTTGTGGCAGCCCCTGAGATATTGGAACACTGCTATCATGTCCCCACTCGTCCTTCTCTTCATTAAACTAGGCATACCCAATTCCAGTAGCCGTTCCTTATATGCTTTAGCCTCCAGTCCCCTAATCATCTTTGTTGCTCTTCTTTGTACTCTTTCTAGAGTCTCA